TGAAATCATAACCTTAAAATGTGAAAGTACACTGGATGAAATCATAGATGTAAAAGTACCTTCTGAAATTAAAAAAGTCTCTCTCTCTCTCTGTCAGTTGTAAGTATGACAATGCATACATATCCTGGAATCATTTACATAGGAGAACATACCCGGACACGAACTGTAACATTGTTTGCTTAGCGGAGTATATGACGGTGTATCACGCCAACGAGAATGAGACGAACGCATTTTTCCATGTTATTAAATGGAAATTGGATCCATGGTATTTTCTAAGCGAACTTTGTTTTTCTACCCCCTGGCATATACATTGTTGGTTCGGAGACACGGGGTTCTCTTGTACACGATGAAACAAGTAATTGTAAGGCACGTTTAATATATATTCCACTGTAGGGCCCACCATGATTACTACAAATTACAACCATACGTGGAATGATATGAAGTCTCTCGCAAACTTAGCATATACATGATACAAATATTAACACCCCCAAAGACGTATGTTCCTTATGTTGTGTTATTTTACATAATGATTTATAGTATGAGTCGTACACGAATCATCACTGTTACAATTATTTGGCAGCTGATCTCAGTCACAAACAACTCCAAGACCCGCAACGTTGGTTGCTTACTTTCTCACTGTTCCAGACGCTATGTCCTATGGGATATGTTCACGGTGTGTACACCAGATGTCACCAGCTGGACCGTGAAAAACAGAGTTATTGTGTTCTATACGTATATTGTATTTAAAAACTGACATAATCGCCGTGACTGTTTCCCCGCTATTTTTTTTTCAATATAGTCTCGCTACACAGGCCCAAAAGCCCGGTGTCTCACAAGATCAAATATTCACCGTAATTTTACCTGTCCGAATCTGCGAATAGTATATTATCTGAATACAATCACATGGTCTGCTACATGACTGATACAAAATAATTAGCACCAGAAAGTGGAGCATTCCCAGCGATTTGGCACCTACTGTACATGTAATTAGGGCTGATTAAAAATAAAAAGAAAAGAAAAACTTCGGCTCGAATATCACGCATCGTTATGGAATTCATGAGAGAATTATAATACTATTATCCATACATCGGCTTTCAAGTTCAGAATACAACAAATACACAGTCAGCTGGCACACACGTGATAATAAAATAAATACGATATTAAGATA